CTACAATAAACAAAAGAGCTTTTATAGAAACCAAACCAAAACATTACAGGCAGACGTGATTGTACAGTGTGTGTGTGAACCTCAGATGTCTTTGAGCGTGTCTTGTCCCTTGGGGTTCTCCAGCCAGTGAGGAGGCCAGCTGGCTATGATGCTGGGCCGCTCCTTCAACAATGCGTAATACTCTCCCAGTTTAGGGTAATGCTCAGCAGACAATCTACAGAACAGAAGGTAGGAGACATTTTAAATGTTCAGCCATGCCAGTGTGACTAGAAAATTTAACAGCCTTCTCCCACTTACCCAAATCTGAAAAGAGTAGCAACAGTTGGAAAAACGGTCACATCTGCCAGTGAAAAGGAGGGTCCTGCCAGGTAGGAGCCAGAGCCCAGCTTGAAAGAAAGGGATGGAAAATACAGCATGTCTGAACACGTCCCAGCATGTCGAGTTTGTTTTTGTGTTTGTGTGTGTACTGTGCATACACTACCTTCTGCAGGTAACCCTCCCAGAGCTTGAGTTCAGAGGCCAGAGCTTCCCTGTTTCTCTTCAGAGCTGAGTCGTGCCTCTCTCCTTCAGGGACAAACCAGTTGTAGTAGATAACTGCATCTGAAAAAGAAACACAATTTACATATTCAGTGCACACAGCGTTCACTGAGTGGACTGTATCTTCGAAACATGTCAGCCAGTATTACTGGTGTTGGTCTTTTAATGGGATTTGCTAACAATAAGAAAAATAACAGAATAATAATAATAAAAATAATAGAATCTCACTAGCCTTCAAATCATAGAATCATAGAATGAACAGTGGGAAACATAACAGGGAAAACAATATTTTTGATGCTATTATGACACCAACATTAGAAGCTGAGCATTTTTTTTTTTACCTGCGTGGTAATTAAATAACATGTTTAAAATGACCTCAGTTGTATTTGTTTTTGTTTTGTTTTGGGTTTGATCTGACTGCTCATGGAATTTTTTATGTATTTGTCTTACTGAGTTTTTCGTAGAACGTGGGACCCTCCATCATGCGTTGGTACATCAGTGCTTGTTCTGCCGGGCTGTCTGGGATCAGTTTGTTTCCCTGGGACTTAAACTGACTCTGCCATTAAGAGAGAAAAAGACACACACACATACATTTCAAGATGTCACACATCATAATGTTTCATTTAGTGTTGATATCTGTTGCTGACATTTTTCTGTTGATGGAGAGGCTTGCTCACCTCCAGGTAAAAACAGACTGCGTAGGATTCATTCACGGTGACGTCTCCATGTTTGAAAGAGGGAAGCTTAAAAATCAAACAGGATATAATGTGAGCAAGACAGACTGTATATAAAGAGTCTAAACTATTAGCTCTCATCACATAGCATGTCTTAATGCTTAGACAGTTATTTCAGGTCACCCTTGCAAAAGAGGTTCTTAATCTCAATGGGAATCTCCTGGTTAAATAAAGGTTAAATAAAAATTTGACTCTTATGAATGACTAAGAATTATAGTGTGTGTGTTGTTTTTCAGAGCAGTACTGCAAATTAATGTACATGCACCTTATTGAAACTGAGCTGTCACCGTATAGTCATATGTCACGTTTTCGGACGGCTCTTTCAGAGGTGTGTCAAGCAGGCCACAGGCTCTTAATATTGTTCAGAAATTTTCAAAGAAAAAGCAAAAAAATAAAGCATTGCAGCAGAAAACGTTTTCATGATTTTATTTTGTAGAGAGTTGAACTGAAGTGTTTATATGTGAGTAACTGTTGCTATCATGACTGAGATCTATTTCAGTACTGCTATCAAAGCACCATAATCTGGCTGCGGGACAGATATTATTGTTGGCGCGCAGTTTTGGCGAGGGTCCATACTCACAGAGAGAATTAACCATTTCCATTGTCAATGTTTGTATAAACTTTATCTATTATGTGGTTATTAATGGACTGTGGTACAGAAACAATGACAATGTTACACACTCTTGGCTTCCATTTTCCATGTTATCTGTCAGTGGCCAATTCGCAATAATATATTTTACTAAATAATTATGTCAATATAATTTCTTAATATATCTACTTAAAGAAATCTAATTTCTTGACTGGCTACTTTCTGCTGTCTCAGAAGACAACACCTTTTGTGCTGTGTCACCATAGCTGTCCTACGCTCTTTCAAAGGGTAGGGGGGCGCTGTGGTAGACTGCACAGTTGGTTGCAATTCACAACCCTCTCCACTAGATGCCACTAAAACTTTAAAACAACAGAACCTTTAATATACCCCGAATTAAATTGTACACTGAAAATGAACGAAATAGGAGGACTGTACCGGCTGACTTTCATGTTGACCATTCACGCAGTCAGAATGCAGTTGACAAGACCAGTGTTCACTCTCTGCACTTTATTAATCAGATTGGAGACCAGCAGGGCACTTAAACATACTTTAGGCTAGATTTGTGAACTTGTGTGGTTCTACAGAAGGACAACAGATATAAACAAAAATGTAGCAGTTTGCAGAATATTCACCACTGTGCACAGAGGTAAATAACAGACATATCACCTGCTCTCCTGTTAAAACATAGGTAAAGGGCACCATCTAGTGGTGAAACAGTAACGTTACATGCTGCGGCTCCAGGGGCGCTACCGTCCAAATACCGTTAATGTCCGTGAAATAGTGACTCCAACAACTGAGCTAACTAGCAAAGGACAATACTACTAAATATGTTGGAACTACTAACATAACATTACAGAAACGGTAACACAATATAGCACACGAACATGAAATTAAATAGCAGGACGGTATTAACGTAAAAAGGACACACTTTTACTGCATCCGTTATTCGTCTTAAACCTTCAGAAAGTAACCACACATTTTTGCTGGGAAACTGGAAAACAATGCATTGCTAAAGCTTTGGAAAGTGTCTGGAGTTGCCTTACTTAACAGCTGGCATTTCAGGGATAATAAAAATGGTTGAAAGGCATGTCGCATCTGTTTTTAATAGTTGTGGTTGTTTTGCGCTTGTCACAATGTTGTTATTCTCGGGTGGAAAATGTCAGGGGTGATAGCCTACCGTTCCTCTATTTTACAGGTTACCATGGATTTACTCCCTACCTGACCCCTGGGATTTATGTCTAACACTTCTTGGGACTTGTGCTCCATTTTCTCAAAGGAGAGCAGTTTTTGGTTGTAGCCCTGCAGGTTCTTCTCCTCCAGAGCGATCATCACCCTCCAGCAGGGAGGAGAGCCGGAGCCCCACAGCAGAGTCATGTCCTGGGCCATGCCTTCAGTTTTCACGGCCTACAACCTCAGGGTTTCCACAAGCGTCTCAGAAGCTGAGCAGACAAACGCAGAGAAAAAAGGGATTGCACTCTGTCCACAGTTCACAGGGATCTCAAGCTGTAATAAAAGCGCTTACTGCCACCTGCTGGTTAGGAGGTGGCAATGTAATTTTTTGGTCTTTCAAATAATTTCTCTTTGTGATAGCTTACATGTTTTATAAAAACGTCAAATGTTAACCCATTTGAGAAACATTCAATAGGAAAATTAAGCATGCCATTTATTTATTGATTTTTCACCATTAAACTAACTTACAGATATATAAAATAATGGTAAAGTAAATGTTTGTGTTTCAGAGATCCTTCAGGATGCCATAACTCTGTGGGCTGGCCAGCCGGTGTGGGGCCAGCTGGCTTTGATGCTGGGTCTGTCCTTCAACAGGCTGTACTATTTGGCCAATCTGGAGTAACGTCCAACAGACAGCCTCAAGACAAGAAACAAGTTTATGATGTCACTGAAAGCCAAAGCAGATTAACTCGTTCTTCCACCAAGCACTACACTCACTAACCCAAAACAATAAGCAATGTTTGGAAAAATTGTCACGTCAGCCAACGAGAAGGTCCCTGACAGGTACAAGCCTGCAGACACCTTGATGCCGAAATCAAATGACAAACACTGCTTTCTGCATTGTGTGTGTGTGTGTGTGTGTGTGTGTGTGCTGTTCATTCGCTACCTTCTGCAGGTAACTCTCCCAGAGTTTGAGCTCAGTGGCTAGAGTTACCCTGTTTCTCTTCACAGCAGAATCATGTCTCCCCTCTTCGGGGACAAACCATGCAAAGTAGATGAATCTAAGACAGATCATTCGAGATGAATATCACTGTTCATTTTGTTCCTCTTCACTCTGTGTCTGTGTTGGTATTTGTGTTAGGGTGTGTGTCTCTTACTGAGTTTATCAGTGAGGGCCTCCATCATGCGTTGGTACCTCAGTGCTTGTTCTGCAGGGCTGTGCGGGATGAGGTTGTTGCCATGGGACTTAAAGTGACTGTCTGCAGCAACGTAATAGAAAACAACAACGAAGACCAGGCCTATGTGTCATAGTCAGTATAAAACATAATATACAGGATATTCCATATTATCTGACGTTGTTTTTTCACTCTCAAATGGTAAAAAAGAGGCAGTGTGTTGCTCCAGGTTTTACATTCTACCTCCAGGTACAAACAAGCTGCACCAGACTCATTCAGGATGTTGTCTCCATGTTTGAAGGCTGGGAGCTGGTAGAATGAAGTAACATGAAAATGATTGAATACTTACAAATTAACTACACTGTCTTGTGCCTTAAAGGAATTCAACATTTATTCTGATGTAACACATTTTTTGTATAGTGCAGACAAACTAATGAATAGTTTATGAATTCATAAAACATTAACAAAATTTAAATAATGGAAATATTGGACTGGCTATAGGGATTAACCCCTATAGAAAAGTGATACTGTTTTACTGTAACAGCTAACTAGATTGCACTGATATGGTCGTTTTTACTGTACTTGATATTTGAAAACATGTGAATACCAACCTGTCCTCTCGGGTTGATTTCCAAGACTTCCTGGGATTTGTGCTCTCTGATCTCAATGCTGAACTGCACAAGTTAAATGAGCAGCAGTTTAAGGCACCTCATTAATCCAAAGGCTGGTCAGTAGAGGCACAGCCACATGTTGTAGTGTATTCAAGTGCTCAGAAATGAAAGCAGTGAAAAAGAATGACATGCACATCCTTTTCTTTTATTATTGCAGAATGCGTGTACACGGCATTTCAAGTGAAAGTATTTGTAACAACGGTTTTGTGTCCTGCCCACTACATGATATTTATGCAGCAATATTTCCCAGTTTTTGATGTACTGTGAGAGGAGCAGATGGTTCAGCTGGGACTTACATTATCCACAACCTGTTCAAGTTCATACAAAGTACAATGTGACCACATAGTTCGAGGGAAATGTCAGAGTACCGCTCCTCTCTCTGAGCACAGAGCAATACTTATATTTCAGCTATAACCACATATTTTATTCTTTTATAACAATTCACAGAATATCCCATTGTTTTTAACCCTTTCTCTCAGACTATAATACAAGTTTCTACAGAAATTACAAAAATAATACATCACATGAACCGCACTAAACATCCACACTGTAGTACTACAAGTACCTGGCAGCTGAAAGGGCATTTACACATTTTATGCAGAATTCTCTGCATGTCCTTCAAAATAGATTGTTAAAACAACCAAAAAGAACATCTTTTTGTCTTTTTACACTTTACAAATGGCTCCTCTGAGATAAAAACTTCCTTTTTTTCTGTGTTTTGAATCAGTCGTTCATTTCAGAATGAGTAACTGTTCATGTTGAGTAAGGTGCAAGATGTCCGAGCTTTGCAAATAAATACTGAGATCAATGTTGCCAAAAAATTAAAAAAAGTGAATTGTAATCAACACTCATATCAACACTGGATATAACTACACCTGTGAATGTGACATTTGTGAGTTAGCTGAGAAGTAGGAGGTGAATGAAACGAGTGAGAGCTGGCGTTTTAAATGAAAGGCACACGTCAGATTGAAAACCTTTCACATTCCTACTAAACACAAATACACACGTCACTTGTCAAACGTGCAGCTGCAGAAGCAAACATTTGCCTTTTCACAAAGGATCATTCTTAGTAAGCCTCTTTGTTTGTTGGTGATCTCTTGGGATTCTTTGAAACTGGATGAGAACAAATCAAACTTCCTCTTCAGCCAGTGAATCTTTACAAACTGAAATTCACAGCTTAAATTACAGAAAAATGGTGGCGTCACAGCTGCAGAAACTCACAAGCAAAAATTACCTTTTGGACTAATGCAACATTTCAAATATATGTTTAGATAAATAGGAAGGGTTTCATTTCAGCGTAGAGGCAGCGTCACTGAATACAAATTTCCGTTCCCTTGCCAGGTTGAACACGTAAGTCCTTAATCGACGCATTCTCTTTCTTCATTTCCACTTTTTCTTAGGGAAGAATTTTTCTTTGTGTTGCATTAAAAAACACTAACATGGCCGCGGCTTCAGGACTCAGACACATCAGGCAAAATTAGCAGCTGGCAAAAACCTAAAAGGGGTTTGTGGCAGGTGAAATATGACGCTGTAAAGGTGATGAAGGCAGACGTCTACTCGATGATTGTGGCTTTGTTTCCATGGAAATGAGGACAGGCGGGAGGGTGGATGATCACATCGATGTATCCGGGGAATCGGTTAGTCCTAAAGCAAGTGCTTCTTCTGGGGTCAGTCCGTTCTTCAGGGTCCGCCTCACTGCGAGAAGAGAAGGTTATTTATCACATTTATCACATCAGCTGCTGTGATCAAGCTAATGCTGTCTCCTAAAACCATACTACATACTAACATTATACAGTATGTACAATATACTAAGCTTTATAGTATACTGTTCAAATCCCCATATTTGTTTAGATTTGTAAATGTTTTATACAAACAGGAAATGATACAATACTTTCTCTCCTGCGTTGCTGACATAAAAAGTGTGATTTTAAGATGCTATTTCAAATTACAAACACATCTGTGCTACTCTGATTATGCTATTGCACATTCAAGAAGACTCCACTTTTTAAAACTGCTTTTAAGGTCTGATTTTGTGCCCAGCACTTCTCTGTGCTTGTACTGTATTTTTGCGATAGATGGTTTAGAAAAAACTATGGTCAAAATTGATGCAGCATAGGCCGAGATATCCTGATTTTCATTTTTTAGCATGGGTCAAGCAATTGAAACACTGCATCCTTCCTTTCCCATAACGCAACAAAACGTGGCTGATATACCTGTCAAACCTACTCACTTTGGATCATAATGCAGACTTTAATGTAAAAATGTAAAGTCTCAAGCCCAAATCCAGGATGACCCTGATGACATCATCAGGGTTGTTTCTTTTAGATTTTTTTATTTAACTTATCTGTGTATACTTAGTCCACAATTTGTTGGATTTGTTCCTAGCTTAATGTGAGCAGCTTCTTTAGTTTGATTGTGTGTGGCTTTGTGGAGGAATAATGTAAATGAACAGCACATTACCAGAAATCAAAGGTTTAAAGCTAAAGCATGTGAACTGACAGTTTTAAATAAACTTTTTTCTTTTCCAGTGAGAACATACAACATGAGCAAAACCTGCTTAGGATTTGTATGTGGTACGGATTTGGGACAGAAGTTAAGGATTTAGGTCGTACATGACTTGCGGTTGGCCCTGGACCTCCTCCTCTCGCGGGGTTGGGCTCTGGTTCCTGGACCCTGAGTGGCCGACCTCACTATACGCTCCATGATGTCGTCTGCGGCGTCGTCTCCACAGATCTGAGCTTCTTCCACGGCTGGTGTCCAAGACTGCATACTGCGACCTGAACAAAATAAAGAGAACAACAAAGGCTTATGCATTAACAAAGAAATACCTTAATGGGCCGTGACTTTTGCATTTCGTCTCTAAGTGACCCTGTAGGGAACTTCCTGTCACCCTCACCTCCCCGTCCAGGCCTGGACCTTGTCCGTGTCCGAAGCCCTGGTACGCCAGCGGGCTCCTTGTCACCGCCGCTGATGCTGGTTCTCAGTACCGCTTTCATGTGCTCGTGCTCTGCAGCATCCTCAGAGTGGCCCAGACCCAGAGGCTGCTCGCTCTCCTGGCTGCCACTAGGGGCGCTGTTGTTACTGGTGGAGCCATGCCGACCACACTGACGGTGTGAGACAATGAATGAGAATAAGAATTTGGCTTTTTGTATTTGAAGTATTTTGGGCTTTGACTCAAACAAGCTGAAGCGTCACGGAAAACATCCAACCTGTAAATATTATGATGCCTACTCTACTTCACTGACTGAGCCACTCAGATGTTAAAGTCAGTGAAAAGGAAAACTCTGAGGTAAAGTGCTTCAGTCAGGGTTAGTGGTTTCATGAACACACACACACACACACACACATGCAGACAGCCAGCACACATGTTGATACCTCACTCTCCTCTTCATCATCAGACTATAGGGGAAAGAAAGAGGGAAAGTAAAAGTCTAGATCAGAGAAAGTAACGGGGGAAAAAGTGAAGAAGCAGCTCTAGACTTGCTAAGAGAAGGACAAGAAGATAGAATGGAAAGTCTGAGTGTGTCTTTGTGCAAGGGACTGTGCGTGCGATGCTCACAGGAGCGTTGACGTCCATGATCATCTTTCCTCGGGTCTTGTTGCGTTCGCGATGGTCTGCTCGCTTCTGTTTCTGCTGCAGCACGCGGTCTCGGGTAGTTCGGTACTCCAGCGCAAACTCGCTGATGATTTTACTGAACCTGTGGACGCTGACCTCTCTCACACTGTAGGCCGGATGACCGAGGAACAACAGGAACGAATGGAACCTTGGAGAAGGAGTTACAGGTGGGTCTCTTTTAGGCTGTTTAACGTTTATGGCCAAATTTCACTACACACTAGAAATTTGACAAATTACTATTCAACTACCTGTTGATGATCCTGCGGTGAACAATCTTGAGGATGATGATCCTCTCAGCACAGTCTTTGAGGAAGTCAGACATCTTCTGCTTCAGCTGGGGCTTCATCTCATGCTTGGCGATCACCTTCAAGTGGTCCCATGAGGCTTTGCAGCGCCGCTCCATCTGACACAGGTTCTCCTGCAGCTGGTCGAAATCCACCTGCCGGAAGAGATGTTGATGCAAATAAGGGACTTGTAGAGGGAAAGTCCTTTTAGTAATTGTATGTATTCCTCTTTGAAAGGGTTCAATATCATTCAGCTAAAATGTAAAACATCATACAGGAATTAAGTGGGTACACCAAATCTTTTGTCAATAACGTAATGTAAACTTATAGTTAATTCAACTTCAGACAGTGTTCAAAAAGCTGCATGATTAACATTATTATTATTATTGGCAGACTTCCCACCATGCATTGTTTGAGAGCTGAATCTCTCCAGAAACCCTTCTTTTTTGTAGTTTAAACTGTTTTTTTTTTCTTTGAAAATGTTTTACAGTGTAGGGATGCAAAATAGCATGTACACAAGCCTTTCAAAAGTGAGCACGGAGCGTACTTTTGCAGACCGGGTGATGGCTCCGATCTCGGAGTAGAGGTCGGTGCTCTGAGGGAAGTTGTCAACCACTGCAGAGCAGACGTGATGCAGCAGAGACTGCTTATGAACCGTGTCCTTCACCTCCGGAACCTTCTCCAAATACGTCATCTCGAAGCCTTTAGCCTGGACGCATGGACACACAAATTACTCACAAAAAAAATTCTGTTTCTTTTAATGCTTTCCTATGAAATAACAGCATCTCACAAGAATCCAGTCCTTAAAGTTGTTTAGAAAATGAACTAGAAAACAACCAAGTGGCTGAGCAAAGGGTTTCTGAAGTAGTACTGTAAGGTACATCTGTTCTCACCAAGTTATAGTAGCTAATATGTGATGTAATTTTTAATGTACAAATTACAGGCTTAGAAAATCCACACTCCATTAAAATCACTGAATGTCTCTACAATTACAACAAACAAAAGAAGCTTGTCATGATGTCCCAGTATGATGAAGGGAGCCTGTTATTGTCATGACTCACATTGGTGCCATTAAGGAAGTTTCCAATAGAGAGCAGCGTGGAGAGGATGTAGCGTAGTGTTTTGTTCTTCTCCAACTGTTCCATACCCTCCTTCAGATCCTGCAGCGGCTCTGCTACTTCCTGGAAGGATTAAAACACACACATACATGTACACACATGTCATTAGTTGAGTCAGATAAGACTCCCAAAAACATGTGTTTCACGAGTCTACGGTTACATAAGTGGTGAACAGGTGCCCCTAGTCTCCCACCACAAATCGCTTGCGCTTGAGATCATGAGAGGTTGTTTAAAGGTCTCGGCGAGCCTTCGCTATCAAAGGTGCTCCTGATTACATGATGCTTTTGTTTTTGTGCAGCAGACTCTCTTGCGCGCGCATTTGTGTGCCTGCATGGTATGTTGCCCTTAAGCCTCCACTACCAAACCAGTCCCACAGTCGGGTCGGAAACGCCACTCTGCCCGAACGCGCGGCAGAAATCGTGCCTTTCATGGAGAGATTAAAGACGGCTGCATCCTGCGGAAAGCCATAAAATTTACAGGACAACGGAGGGGCGTTGTGTGTTTTTCATTCTCTGGGTTTTTGTCTTTGAACTTCTCCTCCTGGATGCATTCTTCACTCGAGTAAAACCTGGTGTGCCAGGAGAAGACAAGGTGCCGCTAATAAGCGTGCATATTTGGCTCTGTTGTTATGATGTAACTATGTTGATGTTTTACGGATGTTGTTTGTACTAAAAGGGATGTTGATACTAACTGACACGGGCATAAGACACACACACACAGGCACACATGTTGTGCACATTCACTAAATCCTTTATGGTGCAGAGTTCATTTGGCTTTGTACGGGTATGTCTGTTCCTGCTTTAATAAAACCACATTCAGTTGCGCAGTACAATTTTAAATGTGTGTTTGATAATGGTTTAGGTTTGGCCTTCCCACAGCTGCATTCTTAAGAAAAGTATCTACCCTTTTCTTTTTTCAAACTGCCCCATGTTTATACGGACCTTCTCAGTTGCTTCATAGTCCATCTTGAAGGCCCAGAGTTGGAGTCTGGCAGAGAGCTCGCTGATGGAGGACAGAGTGAGGAGGAACTGCTCTGCTGAGCCCAGCGGGACATCTGGGTTGGCCAGCTGGGCCTCCTGGATTTTCTGCTTCTCCTCCTCTGTGGGGATCATCGTCAGGATTTTCTGAGGGCAAGGACAGAGTGGGATAAGAGAGGACAGGAGTATATGGGCGATGAAGGATTTGGGAAGTTTCAGTCATGTTCACCCCTTTCTTCCTTTCACCAGTGTCTGTATCTCACCTCTATGCCCTCCTTGTTGAGCGCGTACTCGTCAAAGTTGAGGATGGCCGTCTTGATAGTGCGAGGAGGAGGCAGCACCGTCAGACCGATGTTGATGGCGTTACTCCTCTTGGAATCCAAAACGATGATCTCCTGACGCTTGCCGTCTGCTGCTGTTTTCTACGGCACAAAAACACACAGTGGGTCAAGGCTGGGTCTCCCCCAATCCCCCCTTCGCCTCTCTCTGTCTCTTTCCTCGGTGTGGTCCGCTTTATGGGCTTGTAAGGATTAGAGGGATCATCACTCAGGTTACACTGACTGCAGCTGTGGGAGCTATATGGTTTGTCGGAGCAGTGTTTAGGGGGGTGTCACCGTATGTGAACATATGACCTCACCATTTTAAACTATTAATGGAAGGAAGTCGTAATATGTCACCACATAAAAGTGTAACAGAGTAGGTGCTAAGACCTTGTTACTGCCACTAGGAAGTTATTTACTCACCACATGGTGACTGGAACACTACAGTCTGGCACTATTGACTTGTTACATGTTGCAGTTTATGCTGTTTTCATTTGTAAGACTCATCTTTTTTCTTTCATTAGATAGTGCAGCTCTCCCAGGTGAGCAACCGGAGTATAGTTAACTTATTTGTTATAGAGATGCATTACCTTACTGAGCTAAAGGCAAAGAATTTAAACACATATTTAAAATTCTGATGGGTAAAAGCACCTAAAGAAGGGAACAAAGGAGAGTCTGCCAAAGCAAAAGCTGTTTGTAAAGTTTCCTCTGACCTCTGATGGCTTGAATATTCTGGTGGTCCTCTAAATCTTGGATTGTCTTATTAACTGACAGCTTTGCTTGAGCTATTTCGATACTACAGCAGCAGACCGCCATCACACATCACCGACACATTACGTGTAGACACCGAAGCTGAGCCGAGGTGAGCTACTAACTGGTTCAGCTCTAACAGAAGCTGTGGTTTTGGAGCAGTGGCTCCGGAGTTCAAAGTATGAGAAGCCTATTTCAGCTCCCCATCTTAGCAGATCATACCTTTCTTATTTAGAGGCTTTGTGAGAATTACCAAGGATTCAAAACTGGTCAGGATCAGAACACATGTGACCCCATTTAACTCTTAAAATATCACCTTTCAAGTGCTGGAGATAGTGGACACCACACCCGTGGGCTGGTTGGTAAAAACAACGTGTTTGTGATAAAGCACCAGCCACTGATGTACAGGAAATATCACAAGGACAAAATAGAAAGTACATGACTCCTGTCGATCATCTGTAGTTTACATGAGAAGTTGATACAACATTAAATATGTTAGACACATAATGTGGTGGATTAAGAAATTAATTCACACAAATATCATATGCTGGTGCAAGGTGACCAGAAAACATGTCAGTCTGTCCACTAATCAGTAAAAATCTGGTTAGGTAGTACGACCTTTGACTGACCCACAGACAAATATAAAATGTTATGTCCCAAACCTCTCTGAGCCCTGTTCAGGCACAGCTTATTTACCTTTGTAACTGGTATTTCCTTTGATTTCGTTTCAAACAGGTGCTCCAGTTTGGCTGTGTCCAACTTCACTGGTTCCAGTGTGGACCAGAGCGAGTCTCCGCTCCGCTTGTAGTCCCTGTACTGAGAGTCTGTCGGCCGCACCTGATCACAATCAAAACATTATGCAGAGGGATGTGTTAGACTCTCAGTTCCTACAATAAAACAGGTAAATGAGAGACTCTGAACACAAAGAACCACAAATTATAGCAGGACCAGGAACAGAGTGGGTCATTGTGATGACTCCTCAATCACAACGGGTTAATAAAAACGTGCTGTCTTACAAGAACTTTTCATCCTTACAACCTCCACCCCAACCAACAAAATGGGCCTCAGACAAACCAAAAACGTTTATGACTTAATTCCTCTACACACAGAGAGAAAGGTGTGAGACACTATGCCTCCACTTATCATCCACTGGATAAATGAAAACAGTGATGCAATTGTTTTGTCCAAAAAGCCTTAGTTGTACTTGACTGATGGAAATGGTAACTGAATCTTGACTCACCTCGCTCCAGAAGAGCCTGATTGTCTTCTTCTTCTTGTTGAAAAGAGGTGGCTCCGGGGGAGGAGGCACTGGAATTGAGGAACTAAAGGAAGGGGGAGGAGGAGGCCTCATAATCCCAATCAATGGAGGGGGTGGGGGGCAGCTGCCTAGCATGGGTGGTGGTGGAGGAAAGCAGGGAATGCAAGGGGGAGGAGGTGGCGGGGGTGGGAGGTCTCCGCATCCTCCCATCAAAACAGCATCCAGAATGTCCTTGTCATCGTCCTCCGTCAGGTCGGTGAAGTTGATGTCCCCGATGCGCAGCTCTCGAGGGCTGGCCAGGAGCTGGTCCCAGATCGTGTCCGATTCCTTTTTGGGTGGAGGAGGAGGGGGCTCAGGGGCTGGAATATCCAGGTGAGGGTGGGGCGAAACGAGGTCCTTGATCAAGTCTCCAAACCGCTCGGCGAATGGTCGGATAGTCCCGCGGTTCTCTGATTTGTCAGATCTGTTGTTTGTCTTCTGGTCATCGCCCAGTGGCCCGTCCGCATTCTCCTCGGTTTCTTTGTCCTCTCCCTCTTCTTTCTCTTTCTCCTTCTCTGCATCCTCTTCCTCCTCCTCCTCATCACTGGGCTTCTTGTTCTGGGAGTACAGCATGTCTAGCATGAAGAGCTTGCTGTTGAGGAGTTTGCTGCACTGCTCATTCACTTCTGCCTCCTTAAAGCCTGAGAAGGAGGTTGATGGGGTAAACAGGAGAGAGGAATGTAAGAAAGAGCGCTCACTGGGCCATTGCTGTTGTCAAGATGGCCTTAAATCAAGTGCTTACGTACTTTAGAGTATCAACTAAATTAGAAATACAATGAGATATATTATACAAATTAAGTATCATTAAGAATTAATAAAGGGGCACTTACTCGTCAAAAGGAGTAATGCTCAGCCTGTGGAAACAGTTAATGGTGTTTTTCAAATTTTTTTCAATTTTGACTGAATTGTCTTTCTGTCATTTAAGGAATATTGGCAGAGTCAGATTGGTTCTCTCCCGGGCAGACAAAGAAAAGTTAATACATAATTTCATCTCCAGCAGGCTGTGCTATTGTAAGACAATTCTGTCTGGTGTGTCTAAGAAAGCTATTGGTCAGTTACAGCTTGTACAAAACACAGCAGCACGCGTTGTGACAACCACACAGAAAGAGAGAGCCGACATACCACAGACTCCAATCTTAAAACTGTTACATTGGTTAAATGTCTGTCAGGATAAATGTTGAACTGGCAGCAGAACGACACCAACTCATCAAATGACTGCTAAATAGCGCCATTAGTGGTTGTAAATTCAACAGTGTAACTTTAACCATGATTGCAGTGGCCATCTTAACAAGTCATTTAGTACCATCTCAGCCGATAATTTCAATAATTTCAAAAGAATGACTGCTGAATAAAATCCTTATAAGCAACTTACTAAAAACTAGAATTGAAAATGTAGCCTGAATGTTAGTTCATGATGCAGTACAAAACTACCCACCATTCTCGTTGCTCCCCCTCTCCTCTCTCTCCAGAGTGCTGCTGGCGGAGGAGATGCTGGAGGCCGAGCAGTTGTCCTTCTCATTCACTTCCTCATTCTGTCGCTCCTTGTCACTCAGGATGCCGCTGTCCTCCTCCTCCTCCTCTTTCTCCTTCTCTGGTTCCTGCTCACACTCTTCAGCTTCCTCCTCCTTCTCTGCTGACGCTTCCTCCTCTAATTCCTCCTGTTCTTCCTCCTCTTTCTGTTCTTCCTCCTCTTTCTGTTCTTCCTCCTCTTCCACAGTGGTCTCTTTTTCCTCTGCTTCTAGACTGGCACTGGAGTCATCAGCCTCTCCTGTTACAAAAAAAACAAAAATCAGTGTTACTTTATTCTATAAAACGCAGGTTCCTTGATTTAACTTGGGGCAGTCATTAATACAGAAAGGTTTCTAACTTATCTGCAATAAAATACAGTTTGAAACATGTGCCATAGCTGTCTTTGATTTTAAAGGTACCTCTGTTTAGGCTGCACATGGGACACCCCTGTATCAGCACCTTTCTTTTTACAGTCTATGATCAACACTCATTCCCACGAACACTTATACACTAATGTAAACAATATGGCAGGCACAGAAAGCCGTGTTGTTGCAGGATCGGGATATGAACAGGAAATGAAGAATTAAGATCCTGTTTACGTCAAAACACACTCATGTACACGGTACAAACAGGTAACTCAACAGTACAGTCCTTGCAAGCGATGCAGGCGGGGTTAAAATAACACGACACAGTGAGGCCTCATACGCTCACCCGTTTGAGCTACAGTACCTCAGCTCATAGTTGCGCATTCCCTTAGCTCCCAAACAAGACTTTTTTTCTTACACAAGATGTTTTGGCGTCACACTTTCTAAAAGGTCTTTCAAAAACCCATTTGACCCTTTCACCCATACTCTCTCTCCCTACGCTTTCTGCCTCCCCTGATGGTGTCCCCCCCACCAGTATTTTCCACAGTCTGTCTTGCTTCTCCCTCTTTAGCTCACGTCTGCATGCCCATTTAAATGGTAGTCTGCAAACTGAAACAATTTAAGGTTAAGAATGATTGCTTTGGGGCGCCCAGTTGGGAATTGAACTGGCGTCCTTCTGGTTTTAATTTGTATTAACCAGCAGAATTCAAAGTCATAGTGCTCTTAACTAAGAGACCTTTAACACACACAACTTGAAAGTCATAATCCTCAAGATTTTTATGAAGTCAAACCCCCTGTTTTTGATGCTATTTATGTTGGCAGCAATAGCCATTCAATGTCTTTACATTCAGGAATTACCTCTCTACATACTCATTTTAATTTCTAGTGGTGGGGTCCACCATTCTCACTCTGGATTCATTTTACCTTCACAGGCATGAGCGATACACAGGACACGATGCATATATGTAATCCAGCATTTTAACTGTTAGCAGTCTAATCTCATTGATATAAGCAATTATTCACTCAAAATACTTCTACAAAACAATACATTGTCACGTTAAGCATTTTTTGACAAACAGCACACCTATTCCATCTATTCATTATAAGACAAAACAATTCCACAGTATAGTATAACATAAGCTAACCCCTTTAAATTCTTATTTTTAATTTAGTTTTTTAACAGTACTAGCAAAAGAAATAGTAGCAATCCTAGTAGTAGTTTAGCCGTAGTAATGCTGATACGATTATATATTTTAATACTTAATATGTGGCATTTGGCTACACTATTGAATATAAATCCTCTAAACCAACCGGAGAGTAATTATAAATTGTAAAATTTTACAAAACAATCTTTAGTTGACATGTCAGTCTTATAATTCGTCATCTAAGCATTTTTGACTTGTTAATAACTCCCATCCCCACAGAGACACCATGTTGTTAGTCAATACTGTATGCAGTGCGTCAATATATGACAGCTACTCCATCAAACTGTAGTCACAGTTGTCCTACCGGTCTCAGAGGGCGTGTAGGGGGTGGCTGGGGTCCTGGCTTCGGGGTCAGCCTCTGCGTCCTCCTGGGAGGCGAAAGAGGATGGGGTGCTGCTGCGCGATGATGAGGGCCAGGCCTCCAAGGGTTCAAAGGTCAAGTTGAGGTCAGGGCGAGTCCTCGACACCCTAACGTGCTCCCTCTCGTACTCCTCTGCCGCCAGACGCTCCACGTTCTTATACCTGAAGGAGAGGGACAGAGAGGGAGGATCAGAAGACAAAAGGATAAAAAAAATAGAGTCACAGACAATGTACCTTCTGTCTCTTCTGTCAGTGTTGGTCTTTGCCAAATTGCCCTAAACTAAACTAGCTTCCACTCTTTGCCAATTTACTTGAATTCATCAAAAAGTTCCAACCTGTGTTTTCTTTTAAAACATTCAGCCAATTCCTCTGTGTTTTCTCCTCTACAGCTGCCATGCCACTTCTTGACACTATAAGCCCATCTCACTCCTCTACCACCATTAATCGTCCACGAAGCATTCAAAAGCATTCATCACACAAATCCTGAGTTTCACCATCCTGCTCCCCTCTCCTGTCAACCAAAATGCTCGGCTATCACCAGCAGTCTAGGTATTCAACCAGGGAGTTTAGAGAAGAAGTGTTAGGAGGGAGGGTGTAGAGGAAAAGAAAACGACAGGAGAGAAGAATGGGAGAGATGGGGAGAAGTTAATGTTAGTTTGGCTGCTGAAAGGCCAAACATCAGATATGAATCAGAGTAAACCTGTTCAAGATGTGCCTCGATCAGCTCTCATCCCTTGTCCTTTTCCTTCCTCTCTTTCTACCCCTACCAAACTTAAGCATTCAACCTGCTAGCCAGAACAGAGACTTTGGGGCACTGAATCAACCCTCTCTCTCTCTCTCTCTCTTTCTTTCTTTAACCCCTCCTCTTTCCCACAGCACCATGAATGTGTGGAGCTTCTGTTCAGAGTTCATTAGCATCAGGCCACTTCAGAGGTCTGAAGAAACTGGACACCAATATATGTGCTTGTTTTTGTGTGTATATGTGTGTGTGATTACGAGGGAAATGGAGTGAATGAGCCAACTCTATATTGCGTGTTTCAAACCTTCAACGTGCTCTACGTCCTTTCACACTAAAAAGGAGTGACAGTAAATCACTCTTTGATAAGCTGTTTACTCTATGTGTCTGCTAAGCTAACATTATGTCCATGTATTATGACCTGATATTGCCATTAAAAGTCAGGACTGATTGATACCATGGATAATGATAATATAACATGGACTGCCATGACAGATTTAGTATGTAGGAAGAAGACCAATAGGCTAGCAGCTCTGTGAGGCAATGCTTTGGTACAGTGGTGCTATGAGCTATATGCTACTAGCTAAAACATCAGCATACTAACATTTTCTCAATGATAGTGCTAACATTCACCAGCTAAAACTTGCTAATTTGCCTTTTGCAACTAGCAACTAAGCAATTAGCAACACATAGTAGAACTGAGGCTTTAACAAACCACAAAATATTTGCTAGATGCATCAGAAATCCTGTTTCAGTCCAACTCTAGTATGTGTACCATTAACAATATTATTTGGACTCTTTTGGCCGTCATTAGGCCCCATCCTTATTCCTGCAAATTCTTTTTGACCAGGTGTTTCAGTGCTGTGACAGATGAGCCGGGGTAAAAACTCCTGATGACCGTGACACCCAAATGCACCATACATACATCAGCCTCTCTTGTTGAAACATCTCTCTCATGCTCACTCAGCAGCTCATCTCCCTCTCTGGCTTTCGGTCCACCTCTGTCTGTCTTGTTGTTCAATCCAGCTGCTCTTACTTTGCCTTTCTTTTGCTCTGTCTTCCTCTAGTTCTTTTTGCTCTGACTCTCTGACACTGTCTGCTATTCTAAGTGCTTTAAATTGAGGGTGGAAGAGGTCTGAGCCTACAGGAAAAACGACAGCACTTGGCACAGTTTTTCAGTGGCGCTTGGTTCCTACAGGTCAGAAACAGATGCTTTTCATGTGGTGTGCCTCAGGGTTCGGTCTTGGGCTCTGTATTATTTTCTTTCAAGACTAGAAAGGCACTATACAAATACGGAGCATACGAAGCACAGAGCATTTATATGTGCTTCTCTTAGGTCATGTTATTTAAAGATATCTCTTATCAATGTTATGCTGATGATATGCAGCTGTATGTCTCTTTTAAGCTTGACTGACAAACTTACTGCTCTGCACAATTGTCTGACTGCCATTAAGGACTGGATGGTCTACTTCTTACAGCTCAACACAGATAAGGCTGAGGTCCTTATTGTTGCTCCAGCTTCCATGGTTGCTCAGTATCCTGGATCCCTTTCTCTTGTACGTACAGTCTAATATCAGAAATCTTGGCATTAAATTTGATCAGGCTATGTACTTTGACCATCATATCAAATCATTAGGCCTGTATATGTTTCTTCCATTTAAGAAATACAGGCCTGTTGCATTACAACAGGTAGAGGTAGAGATGATATTTCTCTTTTATAACTCTTTTATATCAACCCGGCTAGACTAATGTAACTCCTATTTACTTTTCCAAGCCATCATTGGGCCATCAACAAATGGTCCAGCTGCTGGAAGGCTGATGACCAGGTCTACCAGGTCAACTCAAATCACACCCATCCTATCTTCCAATCAGGTTCAGGATTAACTTTTAGCTTCTTGTTTTTTTTACATATAGAGCCCTGCATGGTCAGCCACCTGTGTAAATATCTGACCTGCTCAATCCTTATATCACCAGTAAGGTCACTTAGATTTTCCAAAAGGGCTTTCTGGTCGCTCGACTGAAAACAAAAGGTGCCTTTGAAGTGGTGGCCCGACACTGTGGACCACACTTCCTTAAGACAAGTAGTGAAGTATCTGTTGACGCCTTTAGCAACTGAAGACTCTTTTATCCACACTGGCTTTTTTCTTGCCTCGTGCTGTCTAGTGTTTGTAATCTTGTGTGTTTATAAGGTCTGTTATTTCTTATTTTTTATTGCTTGATTCTTTTTTTTTAAATATCTTTATGGTGTTGTTATTGTTGTTTCATTACTGCTTTTATGGTCTTATTTCTAATGATTTTACTCTTGTAAAGCACTTTGTGACCTTGCTCTGTGAAATATGCTAACTTACTTACACAGTGCATAGACTGTTAATAGAGAAGAGAAAAACAAGAATATATTGAAATATTGTGATGGTCATTGGATTTGGTCCCCGAATCTGATCGTGCACTCACATACCCTCTTGAGTAAATCTGTTGCTTCCTGTGATTTCCATTTGCACACAAACATACATTTATAGGCCTCATTAAAATTCTTCTTTGTGTTTAAACGTAAATGTGCATGAGTCCAAATTGTGTCTGTTTATGTGCATTCAGTGTGAAAAGCCTGATGAATCCTGCCTGCTTTTCTCACAGCATGCAGCCAAAACAATCAAACCTTTGATTATAACTCCTTAAGAAAGGAGAAAACAGGCAGACGGAGCTCAGAAAATTAGTTCAGTATCCCCCAGCCTAGGGCATCTTTTTAACCTGAAAACAATTACACTATTACCGAGATTCCCAAATCACAGGTTGAAACATATTCACATAACAGCTGTAATGTGAGTGTGTTTGTTGTTTTGATTTAGTGCACACACTTACCTCTCCTCCCGCGCAAGTCTGGCCTCTTCCATTTTATCCACATAGCCGCGACTGTGAGAGAAACATAAACAGAGAATTTTAAAACATAACAATCATAGCTTACACCAGTATGGTCTTCTGTAGACCTTCCAGTGTGAATATGACATGTTTACACATCATGCACACGTGCAGTTAAGGTACTGGTTCAACTCATGATTCCTTATTCTTTCTCAGATGTTTTCTATGGTAAAATCATAACTGTATAATTAGTCTTTTAAAAAATATATTAAATCCACATATTTTCATCAGTATTGTTGCACTTTTTTGAATACTACATTACTATACTATATTATTTGCTACTCATTAAGCACCCAAAAACTCTCACATTTTCAACAGCCAGCCAGCGGTTAGCTTAGCTTAGCATAAAGACTGCAACCAGCTGGCCTGGCTCTGTCCAGAGATAAAGATAAATCTGCATATAGCAGATGCCTACTACCAGCACCTCTAAAGGTCACAAATTCTTGCCTCATTAGTTTAATTTGTACAAAAACCTAAGTTGACCACTGACCACTTGACCACTTTTATCCCAAACTGTTTTCAAAAACAAAGCCTGCGATGCCGCACCTGTGCTTGTTCCTCTCCTCTCTCTCTATCCTCTGCAGTCTCTCCTCTCTCTCCACACGGCGGCGCTCTCGCTCAGCTGCCAGAGACTCCTGGTGTTGTCGGTATGAAGAGGACAGTAGACCTCCCAAAGCCGGCCTGATGGAGAGAGAGAGAGAGAGAGAAAAAATAAGTTCTCTCCTTCAGCATAGTGCAATAATAAACGTTTATTCCACGATATTTTCTTCTTATATATTCATGATGTTCCATAATGAATGCATCACTGTTTTAAATCTGTCTTTGCTCTATTTTAATCTGCTGCACTACTGTGATGCAATATGACAACATATAGAGCTAAATCTGTTAACATAACACAAAATGTGCTCCCTGCATATATGGAGCTTCTGTATGTGTAAGTATGCATATAAACCATCATAAATTATGTGAAATGACTGTATTCTCTAAGGAGGAAAGCAGCTAAGTAACTAGGGAACCAGAGTGCTCACATTCACTTCAGTATCTCATCACTATAAATGCACCGTGGGGTTGCACACAGTCCATACTTGTTACACATCTGCGTGTTTGTTAATGTGAATACACGTTAACATGTACACGTATGTGAACGTGTTAGCAATACACGAGTTAGTATTTTAAGGATGTTTTGAAGCACATGTCCTCTCACCTGGAGCCTGTGGGCGTGCTTGGGGTGCTCAGAGAGGAGTAGGACATGACATTCCTGGGTGAGAAAAGGGGTGAAAAAGTGGGAAATAGTGAGTGGCCTCTACACTCACCCGGTTACATGACACCCCACTGACTAACTCATCATGGCAAGAAACTAATGTGACACCTTGTTACATAACAGGAATGCTTGCCATTTAGCCAGTGTTAGCAGGTAACAAGTTTCTTTTTAGACTACAAGTATGTTATTTTAGGTTTTAGTAACACATGCAAAATAACACGGTGAAATTTCAATATATTTCAAAGGACTCATCAAAGCAAAAGTGTCAATTAAGCATGTTGGCATATTTTAAACATATTGGCTTCTGATTCCAGTTAATTATAGGTGACTTCACAGAGCTCAGTCTCTGCTTGAATATGCAGAGCTGTAAATCGTTGCAGCTGCATATGACATTATCACGACAACCTATGTAAAGGTGAGGTATACGTCACATGAATATACAGTCCCATCCATCAAGAGAAAGATCAGAAACACTCAATATGGACAGAAAGCAGTGAATGGAGAAAGTAAGGATGAGGAAATGCAAAGTTCTACATAAATTATCAAACTATGAAGCAAGAAGTGACTATACAGATACACAGGTGAAGAGCTGACAAAGGCGTCTGTGAAAACACTACTGTTCTTGTACTGTTCTTGAAAAGAAAGGGAAAAGTGAAGCAAAGTGAAGTTTGCAAACAAGTGGAGGACTATCAACGCACTGACAGAACTAAGAAAAGAGATGTGAAGGAACAAAAGGTGATATTAAGAGCGTTGAGAGACTGAAGGTGAGAAGCCGTGCAGTCTAAGAAGTGAAAAGAACTGGTGATGAATAACGAAATTGATGCAGAAAGATCCAAGCTGGTGTGAGGATAAAAGTTGGAAACAGAAGTGGAAAGTGAAAAAGAAAGTGCAACGTCGAAGAGATGCAAGGAAAGCTTTCTGTGCTTCTTGAGCTCATGGGAGATTGAGTTCTATAGTCCGTCTGACCTGGGAGACGTCGTTTTGGGTGACTCTTCACTTGGTTTGGCCGGTGACGGTGGTGACGGCTCCTCATTGAGGTCGTAGGAGAAGAGGTGAAAGGGCGAGTGGGGCAGGTAGGGGAGCCGGTCAGGAGAGGGACGGGAGCTGCAGCGTGATGGCGGGCTGACCTCCCTGGTAGCCGGGACGGTGACAATGGACTTTTTCCTGGCCAGCAGCGAGGCCAGAAGGGAGGTTTGGGCTGGGGGGCTGAGAGGGGAGGAGATGGGAGGAGAGGAGGTGCGGGTAGAGGGGCAGTGGAGGGTGGGTGCTGGAAGTGGTTCAGTCTGATTCCTCTGCTCCTCCTCTTTTATATTCTCCTTTCTGGAAGTGATGGTGATGGACTGGACCGTTGTTCGGTGAACTACGGATTGAAGATGTCTAGTCGGGCTAGGAACACAGGAATGGATTGACAGGAATAAATGGATGAACGATTTAGTGGGAAAAAGTAAGAGAAGTAGAACCATACCGCCCTGTAGCTTTACTTAATCAGGTGTTAAGAGCTACAGATTGTAATGATACTAATAACTACCAAGTAGAGACCACAAGGAGATCAAACCAACCAGATATACAACAGAAAACAGTGACAGATGACACATTAAAATAGCTTAGTGGCTTCACACCCTCTAGATATACTGTATAAACCACAAGACATTTCATTTTCACGTTTTCACCATGTCCTAAAATACCTGGGGGTGGTTTGTTTAGACACTGTATCAGCCCCCTCTTGCTCATCCGAATCAGACTCAGTCACTGGAGTCTCCTCTTCTTCCTCCTCATCCTCCTCCTCCTCCTCCTCCTCCTCCTCCCCCTCCTCCTCCTCCTCCTCCTCTATCCCATCCTCACATTCCTCCTCTCTGTGGAGGGGGTGGGGTGGGAGGGTGAAATGATGGTTGGAACATTTAAGGGAAGGATTGTGGGAGACATGATGCGATACATAAGAATAGCATGCAAATACAAATCACCACAGTTTTGAAGAAATAAAGAGTTGCAGGGTTAGAAGAGATTGATGAGACTGATGTGTGGAAATAATGTTTAGTAGTGACCAACAAACAAAACAAAAAGCTTAAGACAGGAGAAAACACAGAACTTAAGTAAGAAAGGGGGGGATGAATATTTCTCACTAGACACTACACACTCCATGTGTCCAGTTAGGTTGTTTTACATGCACACAAAAACGAAATATAGAGGGGAAGGAAGGAGAATATGCCACGGCTTAATAACTGACTTGAAATCAGTCACTAAACTGTTTTGTCTAGTGAACCCAGAGGAGCCTTGTTCCAGTCCAGTTGGCGGTTGCTGCCAGGTTCAGGTCTCTGACATGAACAACTTTCACCCATCACTTCATTCAATAAACCAAATGGATTCTCACACAATTATGCACATTTTCACTTCAAGATACAAATGTGTGCTGGTGTGCACACTCGTACACACAAACACCACTTTAACACTAGCTGAGGCATGGGACATAATTCATCTGCTTCGGTCACGCTACACACTGATAGAGTAAAGAGATGAAGGGAGGAGGCTCATAAAGGGAGTGAAAGAACTACAATGGATGTAGAGAGATTTAATTGAGGTAAACAGCTACAGCCGCCTCCAAATTCCCCTTTTTGTGCTGGTTTAATAATGTGTACGCTTCTGTTAGAATTACAAGCAAACCCTGGAGGCTTGTGCACCTGCTGAGGACTCTTTTATTTCTCTTAGGTCTGAAACAGTGTTTCATTGCAAAATCAAAAAATCAACCCAGAGTGCTTTATGTGAGATGACACACACTAATTGTTACAGCATGTAAGTGAGGAGCAGCAGCAGTAAAACAGAGGGCAGAGGGCCACAGAGGTCAGGAGCTGGCCTTTTCCTGAGAGACCTTTGAACTTACATGGATGGAAGGAGACCTGACAGTGTTCTGAAGCAGAAAACGTTGGTATAAGACAGTGAGAACTTCTCTCTTGAGCTAAGTTAACACGTGCAGCTCAAAAGTGACGAAATAAATAAATATATGGCACAATCCTTCTTTATACCTGCTGAAAACCAACCCCTTTTCTCCCTCTGCTTTCCCTTCTCTCACCTCTCACTTATGTCCTCAGCTCTCTGCCCACTGAAAGGCTGGAAGCCGGCTCTCTGTGGGGACGCGGGGCTGCAGGGCGAGGCGTGACCGGACCGCCCAAGAGAGGCCCTGCGGCTCCGCCTCCTCTCCAGACCACGCTTTTTGTCCCCGTCCCCGAGGCTGACGCGTCGGCGGTCCTGGCGTCCTGTTGGTGGAGGCTGGCTGTTGTCATCGCCGTCTTCATGCCGTAAGGTCATCTAGGGAGGAAAGTAATTTTGGGTGTGAAGTGGAAGTTGAAACAGGTGCTTCGCACAGAAATTTTAGTATTAAGCAATTGTACAATAAACACTGTGTGGATCCATATTCATTGGATGTGAGCAGCATTTACTGGCTGAAATCTGATCTTTAATGAAAGGTAAATATCAGCTTGCAATATCTTCCTTATGAGTTTATGACTTTGTGTGTCTCAAACCTCATAGATGTTGAGCTGCTCAACCAAGTCCAGATCAGTGCCTTTCCGCCCCAGGTGCCTTTGGGACACTGTCTCCATGCCTTGTTCCTCCAGACCGTCCACCATATCGTAGAATGAATCCTGGTCAGGCAGTGCGGCAAGCGTCTGCAAAAAGAAAAGGAGACAGATAAGGAGACATCAAGGTGTAACTGAGGATAAAAATGCAATATTGCATGTTCAGTCATTTCATTTCGGTTGGGCTGGAGAATCCTTGAAACGGCTCAATTAAAACCTAAAGTAGTGTGACCTGACACACCTGCTTAAAAATGTTGCATACAATGACAAAACATTCAGTTAAAACATGTAATAAACAAGGAATGAGGAAAGGCATGATTTTAAGTATGATAAAGAATTACTAATACAAACTATATAAACATTCAGTATATAGACACTACAGACATGGACACCTTATTGATGAGGGTCATGGCATAGACCAGCAGCTCTGTGTCCACTCCATCCTTCTCATGCAAGATCTCCATAGTGTTGGACCACGGCTTGCAGCCTGGAAATCAGCACATTGCAAATAAAAACATTAATTACTTTTTCAATCTCTACCCAACCACCGTCCTTTTGTATCAAACGGGGCAAGTAAATAGCACAGTCTAACAGAGTGATGAATGAGAACACGTTCCTCATCAGCTGGTGGCGTGTTTATACCTCTCCTGGTGTCCACGGAGGTGATGGCTTCTATCAGCAGAGGGGTGTTGGACTCTGAGTACTCCACAAACACCAGCAACAGCTTCAAAGCTGTTTTCACCACCAGACGAAACTAGAGGATGGAGGTGCAAAGTTATAAACTCACACAGAGACAAGAAACAATACAAACAATGCATTTATTATATTTTATATTGTAGACTTTATATAAACTTTGTTATTATCGATTTGTGCGTATGTGTATATCTGTGAATAATAGTTTTCTCTGTTTCCTAACTACGGGTTCCCGTACTCAAACCATGTACATTACAGTCCATGTTCTGTGTGCTTTTTTTGTCTAGAGGGCACTGTGTAGATATACAGTAAGTCCCTGACAATGTTAATGGGAGATAGATTGATCCATCCATCCATCCATCGTCAACCGCTTATCCTGTGTACAGGGTCGCGGGGAGATAGATTGATATTTAAAATAAAAACAAAATAAATAATAGACACAATGCAATTATGAACTGGAATCAAGGCTGATACTGTTGGGGCAAAGCAGATGTGTAGCTTTAAAAAAGAAAATACCACAAAACCTATAAAAGACACCGCCCTCAGGCCAGGACACAGTTTACAATCAGTAGCAGATGTGTTTGTGTGTGTGTGTTTCAGGGTATAAAAAGCTAAAACATAACAATGAATGGCTAGCTCAGAGCTGGTTGCAGTTTGTGTGTATTGTTTTCGTATGTAACCTCAGCTATACCTTTGAGCCAACAAGAGTGTACAGCCACTGGATTGTCTCAGCGTGCCCGATGACACCGTTCATCCCGTCTACATACAGCATGATCTGCCCCAGAGCTGAGACAGGGGGGAGAGAAAAAAACTAAAAGTTAGAGATACAGCCAGAGGGGATTAAGGGATCATTGCTTATGCTTTGGATCCTTATGAAAGACAGAAACAAAAAATAAAGTGGAAATTATTTGGAAACACTCGTTTTCAAGCCTTAGTGGTGCTGTTTCTTCCACTACTTCTCTAAAGAAGTTGACATGTGTTTTTCCTTTCCTAAAAAGTATTAACTTAGTAACTGCGACACTGTAACTGTTCTTAATAACCCAGTATTTATGTTTTATTTAAACTCTAAGCTGTTTTGAATGATCAGTAATCATTACTGATCATTACTGAGTAAAGGAAAGTAATCCCGTCTATTGAATTGAATAAAGTGTATTTATTCATGAGTACAGTTTTTTAGTCCTGGCACTTTACTTGAGTATTTCCATTTTATGGTATACTATAATTCTACTTCTGCACATTTTAGAGGAAAACGTATTTTTTACTAATGTATCTGACCGTAAAGTCACCAGTTACTTTGCAAAGAAGAATTTACATACAAAATATGATCAGTTTATCAAATATGTTGTATTGTTATAGACGGTATATAAAGTAGTTTCACCGCACCCTATTTACGTGTTAAATGAACAAGTAATAAAAAGTTAATCATATATTATATATACTTTAAATACTTGAGTGCTTTATGCTTATAACAGTTCTTTAAAAAAAACAATAAAAGGAAGCCTTTAACCTGTAATGGATTTTGTTTTTTTGCTTGTGGGTATTGCTACTTTTACGTAACTAAAGGATCTAAATATCCATAGTCAGGTTTTTCATTATCAGGTAGCAACCATTACAGAGGAGCACATTACTTTATTTACATGTACTCCTTGATGAATGATGGCCCCTGTTGCTTGTCATCTGCTGCTGTACGTCAAAGCACAGAGCAGATCGCATTACACTCAAGCCACGAGTCAAAGTGAAAGTGAATATCAAATCTTTTCTCATTCCACCATATGCTGTTTCTGTGACAAGTAAAGACAACTCACAGGCAACATGAGCAAGAGAGGCAGAGTGCAACCTTGCTCATAGCCTCCTCACTTACATCAAACTTGGACTCAAATTGAATCTTTATCTTCAGAAGCCCTAAGAGATGATGTATGACAAGAGTTGATGAATTCCATCCCAACACTGTGGAAATCAAAAGGCTGATGTGAAGGAACTTTTCATTAACATTAAAAAGGTTTCAACTCCACGTAAGACTTCCGTAATCCACCTAGATGTGAAAATCAGCCCCAGTTTCCATTTAGTTCAAATTAGCCTCATGAAACAATCCCCCCCAGTATAGAAATCTAAATGTGAGACAGCTTGTGTGGTGAGGCCAGTATTATACTGCCACTGAGCATTGGCCTCAATAATCAATTAATTCTCCTGGTATTTTCTTTACCCCTCCATTACCTTTCATTTTGTACTCATATCTTATACACCTTTTGTTTGGAACCCATTACTGAACTTCTACATTTTTGTCATGATTAAATGTTATTGAGGCCTCTTAAGCATAGTGGTCTAGGTTAAACCTATATTTAAATGCAAACATTATTGTAAATAAAAGCATCAAACTTTGCTTTTGTGTGCCTGTCTGTCCGTGCTGCTGTACGTCAAAGCAGAAGGCGGTTCGTATTACATCCAAACTTTAAAAATGAAAGTGAAAGACAAATCTCAAGTTGAATATTAGTTCCTGTGACAAGTGGAGGGGAGAGTAAAAGAGGTCGTGGTTGTCATGTGTTGTTCTCTGTCAAAGTACCACTTTAGATTCAAGCCAGGAGTCAAAAAAAAGTGAAAGGGAATTATCTTATCTAAGCTTACTTTATGTTAGATATAAGTTCCTGTGAAGAGAGAAAGCTCAGCTCACACACATCGCAAACAAGAGAACGAAACAACATCTTTGCTCTCATCCTCTTCAACCATGTATCTGGACTTGAATTTGAAAGCTGAAGTTTTGTCTTCACTTCTTGGACATATCATTAAACCCCATGACAAGACAAGATGTGGGAGTACAGCAGATATTTTGTCTGTTGATGACTTTCATCTCAACACCATCATCGGGAAACAAAGGACTCATATGCAGGTACTTTTCATCGCCGAAGAAGAATTTTTTGATCCAAAGTACGACTACGACTTCACTAATCTCTCTGACTCGGCCGAGTGTAAGAGAGGAGATGAGCTTTATAAGCGTCCAAAAGGTTGGTACCGCATGGCCTTAAAGGTCAAAGGTAAATATCCAGATGGAGAGGTATTACTTGGTATTGGATCGGATAGGAATTAAGTGGTATCGCACATCACTAATGATGACATTGTTCATTATTTTAACGACATGTGCTTGTAACAGTGTTTAATCAGAGTGAAAGAACGTATCTAACGCTCTGTTGCTTAATTTCAGCGTTTAATGTCTGTGCTACAATTTGTATTCATCATAAGTATTATTATTTAATATAGTATTTAAAAAAATTCAAGTTAATGTGAAAGTCAGTAAATCAATCTGTACTGATCTATAAATAAATGTGTGACTCTTAAGGTATTTGTCAATGACAGCTGCACATCAACAAGGGTGTCGGAGAGTGCAGGTCACAGGTCATCTAGATGAAAATAACAAAATTGAGGCGCCACTCCCTTGGCGCGTTTGGCTCGACAGCCTTGACTACTGGGAAGAACATGAAGGTTTCTACAAGGTACAAGGCTGATTAGTCATTATATAGCACAAGGCCGCATAATGTAACGAAATTTGTGGTTCCTTCATGCTACACACACAAAATAGCCTATAATAAGCGCTATACCATATTAATACTTATTAACCATATTAAAATATGGGAACAAATTCAATACAACAATATAGTTATTTATGTACATATATACATACAGCTATAGACTCCAAACATTCCAGTGTATTTTGGGATGAATGCAAAAACAGCAGCAACCAGATGATAATAGGAAAGTTTCATCTTGACAATAAACAGTCTGAAATTTGAGAAACAGAGTCCATCTTGACTGCGTTTGTGCACCAAGCATCATCGATGTAAAACACAGGGTCCACATCCTCTCATCTTGCCGGAGTCTTGCGCTGACAGCTCGGAACATGGACCACCTGCCGAATGCTTGATCCGGGATGTTGATGGGGCAGGTCTCTGTAACGATATGGGCATAACAGTCTCTGTATTCCATTGTCTGGTCAATATGAGTCCCATTTCGTCCAGACCGACTCTTTAGGAGCAGAAGTAAGCCCAAGCTGGGCCAGCATGGCTCCTCTCCTGGCTCTCTTTCCTCTCCTCTGAGTGATCACTGCACCCGCCGTGGCGCCTGGTCCTGTTGTTTGGGCCGGGTGGATCATGGTCTGCTGCTCTTTAATCCAAAAATCCTGTCTTCATTACCTTTATATTCCTTTCTTAATTGATATTGTTGTACATGAAAGCAACAGCACAGATTGTGTAACATCCAAATCAGGGATTGAGGTGACTAGTCTTATACTTTCACCACAAGAAAAGACTTCAGTAGCAGGCAAGCAAGCACACACGACACGAGCAAGAGAAGGCAACAACATCTTTGCTCTCATGCTCCTCAACCATATGTCTAAACTTCAAGAACAAATCATTAAACCCTATGACAAGACCAAGTGGTTTTGTTTTCCACTTTATGTTCTATCACAGAAAGAGGCACGTTATTAGTTGTATATGTACAGTAGTTGATATGGTTTACCTGTCGCTGAATAAACTTTAAACTCAGTATAATAAAAGCAACCTTTGCATCTTAACTCACTCCTAGATTTACAGGAAATGTTCCTGTTGTTGATGGTATGGCACTCTTACTCTCCACTCTTAAATCCAATTTCATTTACATTTTCCACTTTAATGTTAGTAAAGCAACATTTGTGAAAGTCATTCAAACAGGGGGGAGACTGTAAAAGAGGTCGTGGTTGTCATGTGTTGTTCTCTGTCAAAGTACCACTTTAGATTCAAGCCAGGAGTAAAAAAAAAAGTGAAAGGGAATTATCTTATCTAAGCTTACTTTATGTTAGATATAAGTTCTTGTGAAGAGAGAAAGCTCAGCTCACACACATCGCAAACAAGAGAACGAAACAACATCTTTGCTCTCATCCTCTTCAGCCATGTATCTGGACTTGAATTTGAAAGCTGAAGTTTTATCTTCACTTCTCGGACAAACCATTAAACCCCATGACAAGACAAGATGTGGGAGTACAGCAGATATTTTGTCTGTTGATGACTTTCATCTCAACACCATCATCGGGAAACAAAGGACTCATATGCAGGTACTTTTCATTGACGGGGAAGAATTTTTTGATCCAAAGTACGACTACGACTTCACTAATCTCTCTGACTCGGCCAAGTGTAAGAGAGGAGATGAGCTTTATAAGCGTCCAAACGGTTGGTACCGCATGGCCTTAAAGGTCAAAGGTAAATATCCAGATGGAGACACCTGGTTGGGCCCAGACGGGTGGAGAAGTCACTCTGTACCCGGAGAATGGCCTGTTTCCTACCACGGAACAAGCGTGGATGGAGCCAAAGGCATCATCACGGGTCACTACAAAGCAGGATCCGGAAAATTATATGGAAGAGGAATCTACTCAACCCCAGACATACATGTCGCTGAGAGAGAAGAGTACGCCAAGACCTTCACATCTAAGACAACAGGGAAAAGTTACAAAGTGATCCTGCAAAATCGAATCAATCCTGAAATGAGAAAGATTTGCCAACGATCAGACTACTGGCTCATTCCTGTTGATGAAACAGCATCTGCCGAGAAGGAGAAACAGATCGTGGAGAGCTCTATTCGACCTTACGGCATTCTGATTAAGGAAATAAATGACGATGACACCAATGATGATGATGCTGGTTCAGTTGGTGGTATTCTTCACTCATTATTTACTGCAGTCCAAGCACTGTTTAAGTAGAGCCAGAGCAAGTGTCAAATAGTCAGGGGCCTTTCAAGAGCTTTATTCTAGGCGTGTTTCCTGTGTC